TTAGCTACAGCTTACCCTTTGATGGCTATTCGGGGTTCATACGTTATGTCAAAAGAACTTAGCTCTATTGCCCACTTTATCATTCATCCGGACAAATCGGGCTTATGCAAAATCACCCTTATGGGAAATATGGTCATAACGACTATTGTATGGGACTCGAAGTAATGCCTGAGCTTCATCTTTCCATTTACCAAGGATAAGATTAATCGTTCGGCCTTTGAATACCTTCTCTCTGGCTCGGTCAACGTTTTACTTACATAGAAAATCGGGAACTGTTTACCCTCTGCACATTATATCAGTACACCACTAGTCGCAATGTTAGACACTCCAAGGTACAAGAAAAGCTTTTCACCTGATTCTAGGGCATTCAAGACTGGTGGGTTCCGCATATATTCTTTCAACTTGGTCAGCGCTTGTCTCTGTTCATCCCCCCAGGACTATTTTCCATGATTCCTGATTATATCAAAGAATGGCTTGCATTGGTCGGATAACTTAGAGATGAATTGACTCAGTGCCGCTATGCGTCTGGTGAGAGCTTGGACTTCCTTAACAGTGCTTGGTTCTGCATTTTTTAGCAAAGCTTCCGCTTGGGATGGGCTGACCTTAATCCCTCTGTTGTTGACTACATGGCCAAGGAAGTGCCTGGATCCCACACCGAACGAGCACTTAGTTGAATTAAGCCTCATTCCATACCTTCGTAGTACGCCAAACACCTCCTGCAAATGCTTCAAGTGTTGGTCCTTCTGTTTGCTTTTTATCACCATGTCGTCGATATAAGCCTCCACCGTCTTGCCCATTTGATCCTTAAAAATCTTGCTAACCAACCTTTGGTACGTAGCTTCGGCATTCTTCAGTCCGAACGGCATAACCTTGTAGCAGTAGATCCCTCGTTCAGTGACAAAAGAGATTTTTTCCTTATCGCTTGGGTCCATTGGGATTTGATTATAGCCTGAATAAGTATCCAGAAAGGTCAGTCGCTCATACCCAGTTGTTGCGTCCATCATTTGATCAATCTTTGGAAGTGGAAAACTATCATTCAGGCAGGCTTTATTCAGATTGGTGAAATCAATGCAAACTCTCCATTTGCCGTTCTTCTTTGTACTACAACCACGTTCGACAACCAGATCGGGTATTGTACTTCTCTGATAAACCCAGCCTCTAACAATCGATTAACTTCGTCTGCAATGATCTGGTTGCGCTCCGGGGTGAACCTTGCCGGATCTACATTAAGGGAATGACAAGAGACAGATGGGTCAATTCCCGACATGTCCGAATGGCTCTAAGCGAATACATCTGCGTCGGGGAAAAGAAATCAATCAACTGGCGTTTTTCTTCCTCGGCAAGCCCCGAACCTACCTTTGTGGTTCGGTCTGGTCTCAAATGATTAATTTGAACTTCAACTAGGGGTTCCTCAGTTAGCACCGGAAGCACCTCCTCCCCGTTCGTGCTGGGGGGAGGTTTTTTTAATTGTTATTGTGTGCTAACAGATCGGATGGGAGCTTTTCCCTTCCCTGCGGCTTTCAGAGTCACCGAGTAACTTTCCTTTGTTGCAACCTGATCCCCATGGATATCAATCACCTTGCTCCGGTCCGGACTCAGGCATCTCATCACTTGGTGCAGGGTCGATGAGACCGTACCCTATGAATCCACCCTTTCCCCATCAACAAATTGTAAGAGGGATGGATCTCCACCACCACAAAGCTTTCGACAAGCTCCCTTTCGGCTGCCCGGACCAGCAATTCTACTGTGCCGATCAGTTCAACTCGTTTTCCATCAAATCCCAACAACGGATTCCCAATACATTTGAGCTCCTCTGGCTTGATTTCCAGCCGATCGAAGGTGACTCTAGGCATGATATTGGCACTGCTCCCTGGATCAATTAGCACCATTCGTACCAAACACTCTGCCACTGTCAAACTAACAACCAGGGGGTCTTCATGAGGAATCTGAACTCGCATTAGGTCTATTTTATCGAATCTTATCTGCGTTGATACGCTCTGCTGGTGCAGAGTGTTGACACTGCCTATTTTCCTCTTAATTTATGCTTAGCGAAGACGTGTTCGAAGCAATTCTTCAGATTCTTCGGTCCGTTCAGGTCGACCCTGAATTGTATTTATAATCCGAACGGACAGAGCGTTATGGTGGTTCGGCTTTTGATTTCTCTTGACTTGTTCAATTGGTCAATTCTGCTCTTGTGCTGGCCCTTAAACATATCCTGCAAACTCTTCCCTGGCGATCAGCATCTCCACTTACCTCCTTAGGTTCCTGCATTCATCAATCTGGTGACCAAAATCACTATGAAAAGCACAATGTTTAGATTGATCTCTTTGTTCGAGAGGTTGCCTGATTGGCAAGGGAGGACAAAACTTATCTTTACTTTCTTGGTATAGCCTTGCCAGCTGTAATACCCCTAATTTCAAAAGGATAGTCCTGGTATTTAATTTATTGATTAATTGAGTTTTTAATTCTTTAATTGTTTCTTTGACTTACTTGACTTACTTGAATTATTTGTATTATTTGCATTTATTAATTGGATTTTTAATTTTTTTTGCTTTAATGGTTTATTTATCTAATTATTTTTATTTGTTTAATTAGTTAATTCTTTTTTATTTTATATACGTGGTTAATTCTTTAATTGTATTATTTACTTGTCCTATGTTGGTGGGTTGTTTTTGTTGGTTAATTATTGTATGGTTCATTATTTTAATTTCATGGTTTTAGTGGGCTTAAGTTAATTACTTATTTGACAAATTAGGTTCCTATCAGTTTTTAGGAGTCACGTATTTAGCCGACATAATTTTTAACCTAGCGTTACTTGGATTAGGGTTAATGTTGAGTTTATAAATATGCACGTTAGGGTGGATTAGGGTTTAAAAATGAAACAAAACGTAAGTTTCTGTGGAGGCATTGAGGAAATAGAGGGAGAGCAAACAGAGAGTTTCGCTAGAAGATTTTAGAACGACATCGGTGTAAGGCAAGTTCTATACCTAACTCCCTCCCTTAGACTTGTATTCTTTACATCTTTAATACAATTCCAGGAGTAAATAATTCTTTACATCTTTAATAAAGGTTTGCATGTTTTGGTTTGCACTAAACTGTATATTTGCATGAACTGTTGTTATTCCGTTCTGATTCTTCTTTGCTTACCTCTTGTTCTATTGGATGTTAATTATTGTGGGATGGTTTTAAACCTCTCTGGAACACTAGAACCTAATGTTAAAATAGTATAAACCTGGACAGTAAGGGACAGAAGTGTGGGAAATCGCCGGAGATCAAACTGATGCACGAAGAAGAGAGAACAGAGGAAGTTGGAGGTGGAGGCGGCTCCACATAAGGGTGGAGCCGGCTCCAAGGGGTTATGGTGGTGGCTCCACATGGTGTGGAGTAGGCTCCACACAAGGGGGAGGCGGCTCCACCCTCTTTTTGCTTGTTTTCAGCTTGTTTTCTTGATTTTGGGTTGGTTTTGGTGCTACTGAGGTATTTAGGAGCTGTAATGGACAAGTTTGGCTGGTGTCTAAGATTAAATTAGAACCTCAGAGGGCTTGGTAAAGCATGGTAAACAATTAAAGTTGTTGCTTGAACAGTATATAAATTTTTAAGTGAATTTCGTGAACTGTTCTTGGAGGCGGAGAATTGAAATTGCATAACCTTAGTTATACAAGTTTTATCTTTGAATAGAGTTACTATTTATTCATGTTCTATAGTAAATTACAAGCATGACAAATTACAAAAGGATTATATGCTTGTGTTTGTTAAATTGATGTATTCATGTATTAAGTGTTATGTCAATTCTGGGATATCAGTGCAGTGTGGTAAAATAAGCTTGTGAACTTACATATTCTATTATGCTTACTTGGATGTTAATTGATGAATACATGTATGAACTGTATTACCAATTGTTGGATAGGGGGAGGTTAAATCAAATAATCCTGTTAACTTTCAGAATGTTATTATGTATTATGGAACTATTGATGTTAAAATTTAACGTTTGCTTTATTGTTGGGTTTAGATGATATGTACATGCATAGTCTATATTATCATTGGCTGGATGAATGGATTGTATGCACCGGTATGGGACGGTGGCATACTAGGGGGATTAGCTTAAAAACCGCTAAGTCCTACCTACTGGGAACTAAGGAATGGATTAACTAAAAGTAATATCCTATTGATTCATAGTGTCATGGCAACGTACCATTGAGCGGCACTACTACGGATTTTGGATGAATTTTAAATATATTATTATGGTACCTTGATATGAGCTTAAGTCTCAGGATCGATGGTTAGGGAGCGTATATACATGGGGATGCATAGCTGGCTACAATGGTTGGAGGTGTACCCTATTTAGATTTAAGTACACATGCCCACCTCGGGTGCGTTCTATATGTTGCCTCTATTCAGGTTGAGACCGACCTTTAGCCAGTGAGAGTCATTTAGTGTGAATATATATACTTACGGACTATATAGTTATTGTTGAGTTGGTTAGGATGTACATGCGTATCGAGTCTCTGCTTGGATTGTAGTAGGATAGAACTTGTTCGTGGGCCTAACCCACTTGTATTTTTCAGGTACACGACGGTTCCAGACCTAGACGTGTTCCTGCTGAGCAGAGGTTTTATTCACTCTACCGACAATGTAGGACTTCTCTTCGTAGCTTACTTCTGGATGTCTTATCAGTTATTTTATTACTGTTTGGATTATTAGGGGTCCACTAGAGATGGATTCCTGAGTTGTAACCTTGGAGGTTTTTGGAGATGGATTATTTCAATAATTATTTTGTCATTTTATTATTTGAGGATTTTATTTTAGTTTCTTTCAGCTTAAACTTTATTTCTTAAATTCATTTTGTATTTCGTGTTCGTTATAAAATATTAATTGTTAGATATTCCCTCGGCTTTGGGCCTGGGCCTGATCAACTCGTGTCTCGTATCCGAGGGGTATCTCACCAGCGTAACCTTGAGTGGAGTAATCAACTCATCCTCTCTGGGCCTCTTCTCTGCCTTCTAGGAGGTTTGACGTTGCGACGGAGTTTGTTTTTGCCGAATCTTGGCTTTGGACTTCTCTTCTGTGGAGATAATAGATGTCTTCCTAGCGTTAGCTGTTTCTTCTTTTTCCAAATGCACGAAACCGTCAGCTCTCTCGTTCAGTTCTTCCATGGTCTGTGGTGTGTTCACTACCAGGCTTGTGTGGAACGGTGTTCCACGAGTTATTGCTAATTTAAACGCTTGAACTGCTGTGGAAGGATGGCACTCTATCACCATGTTCTTGGTTAGGTTGAGCCTGGTAAGAAAGGCTTGGAGACGCTCATCCTCATGCTGCTTCATAGTGAACAGACTAAAGATATCTTTTGCCGGACGCTTATTCCCATAGTACTGGCTTATGAACCGATCACACAAACTACAGAAACTGTCCACTGAGCCCCTCGGCAGGTTCTTGAACCAGTTGAGCATCGGTTCAGCTAAGCTTGTAAGAAAACACTTGCACATCAAGGGATCATTCTCCGTGTTCAGTGCCATCTTCAACTGAATGTGATATACATGATCAATCGGATCGGTTGTTCTGTCGAACAGAATGAAAACAGGCATGGAAAACTTCCTCGGGCTTACAGCATTCAGGATCTCGTCAAACGGCGAATCAATCGTCCGTGCTGCCGAACATAGGGCCTCATTCTCTCTTTGAAACCTTGTGACGATTCTTTGATCTGTACGTTTTCTTTCCGAGCTCCTATAATCATATGTGGCCATTGAAGGCCGATAAGGTGGATCGAACGACCTTTCCTCAGTGAACTCCTTTTGTCAAGGCGAGTTAGTCTTGTGATAATCAAACTCCATATCATGTTCGCGACTGTGCCTTTCCTGATACAGATTGAAAGTTGTAGCTTCTTCCCGCTTGATCTGCTCACGATGTGGATTTAGATGTATAGATCTTCAACTCGACGAGCATTTGGCGGTAAATTCTCTATCCTGACCTCCTCGCGGTGAAGATCCACGTGGTTATCTCCCTCTTGCTCACCTTAATGTGCTTCATCAGGCCGCACGCCTCTTTCGCCCACCGGAGGCGGTCGCGGTGCAACCGGAACTTCTCAGCGCTCCATTCCAACTCTCAATTCTGCATTTTCTTTTCTCAGAGCTTTGATCATGCTCATTAGTTCATCAAGCTTCATCTGCTGGCCATTCTCCACTGGATTCTAACTCTCTGCTCCGATCATCATTCTGGATCATGCAAAGTCATTAACCGTAAATTTCTGATCAGATCTGAACTTCGCTAATGCGAACGCACTAGATCTAGATTCAAGCTTAGCTGAATTTTGACCGTGATTGGCCGAATCTGAATTGCTCCTGCAACGAACTCGCTAAATTCAGCAATCTCAACAAATCTCAACCACACAACTCACCAGAACAAACACAAATCAGAACTGCGTAGATCGAACGCCAACCTTTCAAAATCAACTGGAATCGAGATTCGGCCAGACAAATCACGATTTCACTGATCTTGATTCAGCCTTCAGCGATCAAGCTTCGTCTTCACGGACTACACTGGATCAAATCAATCTGAATCAAACATTAATCAATCCTCATCGAGTTCCCACTGATGGCACCATTGAAGATGCAAGAAATTTTCTATCTCTATTTTGACAGAGTTTCATTACACTTCAAGAAATTTTCCTCCCCTTCTTCACTCTCTTTTCCTTCTATTTATAGGCTATTTACAGTTTCTTAGAAGATTCCTAACTAACTTCTTCCATTGGGCTCATCCTCGAGGCTTTTACAATAATGGGCCTAATCATCTTCAGGGGTTTTCAGCTTCACTCTTCAGCATTGGGCCAACCTTATGAAAGCTTGGTTCGAACACAGGTCAATTACCTGACCCATTCTTCATCATGTGAGTTGGATCCGGCCCATGCCGCCTTTGGTATCCTCATACTTTATTAAAGCTGCAATCTTTTTATTATTTTTTATTGCTAAGAAATTCACTTTCAGATTCACTTTTTAGTACCAGTTGGAATTCGATGATGGTTAAACACATGTTGTATAGGCTCGTGTATACTATATTCATATAGGCTCGCATGTGTACATGAATATAGATTTATGAGCACGTTGATTGATAAATATACTTGTGTAGACTTGTATAAGTTTACGCGTATAAGCTAGCATGTATTGATGAACATAAAAATATATGCTTAAAAACACATTCAAAAAAATAAGTTTGTATAAGTTCATAAACGTAAAATCGTGAATGTGTGTTCGCAAACATAGACTTGGCTCGTAAACACGAAACTTATAATGGACTTACGCACGCACACCCATTGCGCACTCTCTTCTCGGTACTCAAAATTTAACTCAAAATGCATCTACATCGTTAAAGGATGTCTACATTATAAATCTCAGCAACTTCTCCCCCACAAGCAATGTGGGACGTCACAATCATCCCTCTTGAGGCTAGTGTACTTGCTATCCTAACCCGCATGGGCTTGTGTATCTCCCCCCCCCCCCCCTCCCCTCTCCATTTCCAGCTGAGGATGGGCTCTGATACTATTTGTCACAATATACCCAAAACATGTGTAGATATTATTTACTTTGCACTCTCGATCCTCTTGGTATTCACAGTTTTGCACAAAACACATCTACATGGTTAATGGGTATCCATAGATGTAAGTTTGCATGTGTTTACATAGGCTAGTATTTATTCACGAAAATAGGTTTATGAATAAGTTCATAAGCATAATCTTGTATAGGCTCATGAACGTATGTTTGTAAAAGGTTTATATTAGCTGCAAAATAACCAAAAGGCCTATAATCATTACGCCTCTTGAGAAAAGGAAAAATTAGTGCATCGTCCAGGACTGCATGGTCCCGGCCAATCCTAAACTGACACGCAAGAAAAGACTGAATAAAGCTAAATGAGGTCCCAGACCATTTAATAATTTGGGAAATTACACTGACATTTCTTGCTACCCTCTGTTATGAGAAACTCTTCTTTACGCAACAGTCGACTCTTTCTCTCCTCTAATCCTAATTTTCATTGATCACTACTCATGAGAAATCCTTCCTTCTACCCTTTAATCTTTTGCAAAATGCGACTCTCTCTTTCTGCAAAATGTGATCCCTCTTTAACCATATTTCTTAGTTAATTATGATTTGTTATATTTTCTGGGTTTAGTTATTTTTTCTGGGCATTCCTTAACTTTTTGTTTGGTTTATATTTTTCTTTTGATGTTCATTAAAATTCATTACTGGCATTCCATTTTTGGGTACATGTGATATTGAAATGTGGAGAACATGTACATGTTATAGAACTGATTTTCCATTATGGATCATCGAGTACATATATTTTTTTCATACTTTTTATTTTTTTGGATAATTCGGGGTATCTGAGGCCTTGACTAATCCTTGAGGACCAAGGAGGGGCGTCTCTCCACCCCGGGCCGAATAAGTCACTGAGTATGACAGTGCAAGCATGGCCTAAGTTATCGTAAACTCCTAGTAGAAATCAAACCCAAACCTTGGTGCTATTAAGCACCCAAACCCATGTAATTTTACCACTAAGCCAACCACATGGGTTTTCTCTTCTCATACTTGTGATCATTGATTGTTTTGGTTTTTACCTTTGTAAATGGTTTGATTATTTAGGTTCTGCATACACTTGGTTTTAGGTTATGTTAGTGTGGCATGGACTTTTATCAAGACTGAACATCAAATTCTACTTCTTTACAAAAGGAATAAGAGTAAATATGGTGGCAAAGTTCAATGGAAAGCTTAATGATACAAGGCATTTTACTTGTTTTATTGTCATTAGCTCAGGTTATGCAAACTAAATTTGGGGCATAAGTCAATAATGAAGGTTAGTTTGGTTTATTAAATTACTTAGAAATATTAAATTGGTAATTTCACAAATCAAATGTGTTAATACAAAAATCAAAGGGTATTCAAGTCATTTTACTATGTGCCAGAACATTGACACTGTATGCCGTGTCTTTCTCAAACAAAGAAAATTTCAAGGGGCAATTGGACACCACACAGGACAAGTTCTATCTATGTGTCATTTAGGCAAACTTCGGGAGTGTGAGAGTCGGTTCACTTTACCTTTTTTTTTTTTTCTTTCACTGAATCAAATACAAAGTTGTTGCTTTATTTGGTATGCTTTTGTCTCGATAATTCATTCTTTGTTTTTAACAAGCAAAAATTAATTTATTCATACTAGAATTTTTTACTAATTGCATTTGCTACTATAAATAACGCATTTTCTACTATGTGAATGCACTATGTTAAAAGATCAATGAATGATCCTTTAATAGTTTGATTATGTATATATACACACACTAATAAAATATACGTGTAATGCACATGAGTGAAAGTGTATATAATTGTATAAAAAAAAAGAAGTTATTATATATATATATATGAACAATTTTGCATTATTATTTATTATATATAAACATTATTAATATAACTGTTTTAACGAAACCTCAAAAGTTACGGCAAAACGCCAAAAGTCATGTTATTATTTCAATGAAAATAACTCATTTAAATGTAAATAAATATTATAAATAGAATTCATTTTTATAAGGGATATAGATAATGGCATAGCTATATTGATAAAGACATATTTATTAATATAGATAATGAAGCTATTGTGCTACACTTTCATAATATCAAAACTTGTCGGGGAGAATCATAAATATAATATATATATATATATTATATCTTATTATTGCATAGGATTCTGATTGTGAGTGCAATATGTATTTATGTAAAAATATCTAATCATGATTATGGAAGATTATTATATAAATTCCCAAATATAATTATCATTAATTTAATTAAAAAATTAAAAAATTAATATTTAAAGCTAATTATTTTCAAAAACAATTGACCATATATATATATATATATATATTTCAGACAGAAAAAATCTATAATTTATCAAATATAATGCCATATAATTTAGGTGCAACAGTCCGTATATTTTTATTTAAACGTCAATGGGCCTCAACAGTAATATAACAAATGGGCCGTCCAATAAAAAGATTTTGTCTACTGTACGGTTGGCCTAGATGGGCTTACAGGCCCGCATGTGATCCATTAATGCAAAGCTCTTGGAACTCTATCTTCAAAAGCACCACTAACTATAGTCTCTATATCACGTACAATGCACATGACCACATCTTCATTCCTTATCTAATAATATCCAATGAACAGTTGGAGTAAAGTTGTTAACAATTTAAATAGTTCTAAGACATCTTCATATTTGCAAAAACTTGGTAGTCCATAGAATTTTTTTCCTTTCAAATTTATAGTTCCTTATTATTTGTAAATCCTTAATAGTTCCATGATGTATTTAGAAAAAGGAAAACGATATACTTGACGACTACTTTTACAGACTACACAACTGACTTGATGCGATGATTAATGATTGTTATACATATTTAAGAAAGTATTTTCATTCTATTGAATTCTATTTGTTGGGTAACTAGCCGTAAAAGATAGAAAAAAAAAAAAAAAGATATAAATAAATATAGCATTTTGTTTTTTATTAGTATTATTTGAAAAAAAAAAAAAAAAAAAAAAACCCATAATACTCTTGAGAAAACTTTACGTTAAAAAATAAGAATTGTTATCTTATAATCAAAGATTCATTAGTATAAAGTTCATGTTGGTGAATGTTTATATATATACGTATATTTAAAAATTTGAGAGTCACCGTAAAATTACTTTATTATGACATGAGGTTACAGAGTTCAAAA